GCGGGGGGGGGGGGGTGTCGGGGGTGACTCCGCGAGGATGGACGATGGAGTCCTCGACTCGGCGACGAAGAGCCGCTTATGATAATATAATAATACTTACTTGGGGCCTCGGAGTGCTACCTCCAAGCTCATTATGCGTTTAGTTCATAACTTCAATTGGATTCTTACTATCCCTACTGAGCCAAGGCTTTCATCCTGCCGTTGTCTCAAACCATCCTAATTATACAAGTAATTACTATCGCGAAGGAGGACGTTTTCAACTCATTGATTGTCCGCGATGATGCTGTATAAGCAAAGGTAGAGGGAGGGAGCTTTTGTCTTTCTTTCGCAATTTGAATATTTTATTCGAGTTGCGTCAACTCGGGTTAAACTTATCGTACGCTTTCTAATTTTTTATCGTACACTGAAAGAAGCGTCTGGTGACGATCGGCAGGATTTGATCAAATAGTTTCAACGAAATTGTTTGGTCGCAACCGTATCATTCGGTGCATATATCGTATTGCTGCATTATATACGGTGTTATACCGAGTGATTTGGTTGCGGTAATCAAGCAATTGAGTCGAAACTATGTGAAAAATCTTGACAATTGTTACCAAATCCTTTCTTCGCTGTTGAGATAGAAAAATGGTCGAATTTGTCGATATTCTCCTTGTATACGACAGTCTCGACGATAATGATTTTCCGGTCGCGTTTGCGCTCGGTCGTTCTTGACACGGCGCAGCTTCCGGAGGGGAAGGAAACGGAGAGCCGCTATTTACGACTTATCGCCAGTAAACGCATTTTAGAACAGAAAGGGAAGGAAGTATTGTTGATCCTCGCGTCGGGGAAATTTTTCACACAGAGTCCATACTGTCGCTCGCCGGGCTTTGAAATCAATCTCAGTACTCTGGGAACATGATAGTCCGACGCGAGTAGAACTTCTTCCTTCCTCCGCCTCGGTCCATTGAAAAAAGGCTCTTGAGTCCATCTCAAGGTATCGATTAACAAACACTCCAGCAGCTAGTGCTGCCTTTGTAGAGCCCGCTTTGCAGAGTAACCGCTCGTGGTAAAGCCGTTTCGAGCTTTCCTGAATGGCGCAGTGAAAGCTTTCTGTGCGAACGACTCACCGAGTGTTGCACAAGAGGCGGACCTTTCGAACTCCACAGAATAACGCGACCGTGCGCATCCATTTGTGCGCGGTAGAATTTCGCCGACCTAATCGAATTCCGGTTGCGTCGGCGAAATTTCCGCATTCGCGACCGCGGCGAGCGCGATATTTAATTTAGCGCCGTCGGTTTGGTATTCATGACGGGCCGCGCCGCGGACGTAAATCTAACGCTTTTGACGGAGTGCGCGGAAATATGTATCGACCCTTTGATTTTCTTTCCCGAAATCGCGCCGTTCGCGGGATTCGATTCGCGCGGCCGCCAGACCGCGACCCGTCCAAATTACTCACGGCTGCTCTCTCTCTTCTGCCATCCCCAATGAAACTCGCACTCTTTAACGTACTCTTCCCGCTCTTTTTTCTCCCCCGCGGGTGGAAAAAGCGTCTGCGAAATTGTCGCCGAGTCGCATTCTCTTTCGCAGTCCTCCGGTAATGTCCGTTCTCGCGCGCAGGAGAAGTGCGCCTCTCCGTATATTTTCACCTCGTATCTCCTCACCTTCCAACCGTTGCGAAGTTTCAACGAGTGAGGCGATAAAATAAGAAGCCCGATGGTAGAACCCGCCGTTTTTAGGTGGAAGGTCGCGTAACACGTAATGCAGCGCGTTGATTTACGCTCGCGCGCGCTCCTTCGCGCCGACAATTGAATACTTTCACTCGCCATATACCGAGAAAACCATTTGTCACGATAGTAATCATGCACTGTGCTACACACGTATGCAACGAAACGCTCGGTCATGGAAAGCGGAGACTCACCTTCGGACTTAGGTGCGGGTGGTTTGCGGGTGGCCCAATTCGTCCGGATACTTCTGCCGCCGAGCCATTGGCCGTTCATGGTACCGATGGCGCTCTCTGCCTCCTGTAAAAAGATTACAGCAAGGAAAATCAAAATTTTCTACCGCAATCTCGAGAGGCAACGCGTTCTCGTCGTATCGAGAGGGAGGTAGAAAGAAAGAGAGAGAGAGAGAGAGAGAGCGAAACAGAGAAAGAGCGGGTGGCCGTTTTGCCGATTACTTAGACGTGAAACTTGCATAGATTTCAATACTAATGTTCGCCCGAACTCCGCTCGGACCCACCCCTCTCGTTAATATTCGCTCGCTAACGATGTTTAATATTTCGCGCTATTTTTCTTCAATTTTGCGCTCTCCAATCTCGCGCAACCGCGGTTTTTCGGTTTTACAGCAGAAAATGTATTTATCCAGCAGCTCCAGCCGTGCAGTACATTGAATTTTATTCGGTTTTTATATTATCGCACCGTTCATTAATTCGCCCTTTGCGCTCAAAGTAGTCGTGGATTTTTGCAGGAGGCATTTCGGGTAAAAATACAAAATCTCTTTTTGCACACACGCACACGCGCGCGCGCGCGCGAACGATGGGATAATTTTATTTCGCAATTTCACGTACCACTTTATCGGGCGTCTACGAATGCACATGACTGAAGTTAGCATTTGTAAGAGTCTTACATTATAACATTCCGCTCTGCTTCCGCGAGCCGAAAAACACACAGAAAAATCCGCAAAAGTGTACGGATGAAAGTGGATGACCGAAAATCGCGTAAAACTCCCTGCGGCGCGGACGACAAACGCAATAATTGTCGAAAATTATCGGATATAATAGGATTGTATTTACGTATTACGGAATACGCTCGAAGAACTTTACTTCCGCCGCGCGCGAGGAGGCGAAGAATGAAAATAGCGCGCCGGCGCGCGAAAGCTCTCCCTTATTGTCTCTCGCAACGTCTGCAACAACAATCGCGGGGCGCCGTAAGAACCGGCGACGGCATCCGCGCGACGGGCGGCGGGGGGGGGNGCCGCATTCACACGCAAAACCGCGGATAAAACCAACAGGTATGTTGACGTCAATATTATCCGCGACTTATTGTTGATTCAGCCGCCGGTATCCCGCCAGCCATGGCCCTCGATCCAGGTCAACTTAATATACGTTTTGAAATTTTATTCGATCGACTGCACTCTTGATTCCACCCCGGATTTTCGCGAACCGCTCCCAGCGATCCGAGACATTTTCCATCGCGTCGTCGCGCTCTCTCTCTCTCTCTCTCCCTCCTCCTTCCGGGCGGAGGGACAGAGAATCGCCCTCGGCGAAGGGGTGGGTGATGCCGCCGCCGCCGTGGCGGCGACGGCGCGACTATTCGCTCTTACAGAAAGCTTTAACAAAACAGATTTCGGTGTTTAATTCGCGTGCGCGTGTGCGCCGGCTCATATATATATATNATAAAAAATAAGGCGAAGCTTCGGCATCGACCACGAAAAAGAGAGAGAGGGGCTCGGAAAGGATGGAAACGCGTCGGGGCGCGCCGCACGATATTCGTAGTGCTCGCGCGAAGGAAATATACACGGTATGACACACGTCATCGGGCTGCATCGTACACATGCGCGCTCGCGGTATGCATCGGCGACGGTGGCATTCGGACGGCAGTTTCGAAGGACGGCTGAGAGGGAGAGAGAGAGAGAGAGAGGAGGGGAGGGCAGAGGAAAGGACAGAAGAGAGAGAGCGAAGATGTTCTCGACGCGAAGAATTTCCCGAAAAAGTTTACTGTTCGGGAAGCTCTCCGGGTTTGTAGGTAGCGAGGCAGCGAGAGAGAGAGAGAGAGAGAGAGAAATATATGTATATATATATATATGCTTCGTTCTCTCCCTCTAGACTTCCGCGGTCTTTCCCTCCGCCTGCCTTCCCAGCTTCCACAGCGGTAGTCTACCGACTACCTCTCTCTCTCTCTCTCTCTCTGGTTCTCTCTACCCTCAGCCATTTGCGCTATTTGGGGGAATCCCCGGCTTCGCCTCTGCCTCATCTCCAGCCGTTACTTTCTTCCACGACGCGGGCTCCAGCCGAGGACTCTCTCCCGCGCGCGCGCGGTCTTCATCCTCTCCAACGGCCACTCCGCGCTACCCCAGATAAAGTATTTCCGATTCGAATTTCCATTCCTGATATGACGCCGCGCGTTCGCGCGGTTAGCCTAGATAGAGCGACCGAACGCGCGCCCCGCTCTAAGCCGATTCTAAACTTCGGTCGATATCCCAACGCCTCTTCGACCCACAAGCCCTGAAAACCACCGGCGCTTGGCCCCCTCTTCCGTCCGGCGTGACCAGAGCGTTTACGTGATACCAGAAGCACCACCGCCGCCGCCGCCGGTCGACCGGCTGGTCGGTCGGTCGACCGGCGGTTCGAGCTGTCCAAGCACACCCATCAAATCGAATTTCTTCCGCGGTCGGCGATGCTATAGACAGACGGGAGCACCGCGCGCAGCACCGACACCCAGCTGTTTTACACGCATTATTAAGTCATGCCCCGATATGGCGTTACGCGCCGTCGGATTACGTGGCCTTAACGAAACCTCCCTCCCGTCTGCATCGGACTGCATCGAGCCCCAATCGTGAGCGAGCGACCGCTGACCGAGAACTCGCGGTTCCCCGGCTTAATTGACGTTAGATTCCGCCGTTTCTCCAATTTCGTCCTCCGAGGGCTAATCTACCGACCGGGAGCGCTACGATGAAAACACGATCGACATAAATATCTTCGCGGTGTGATTGCGAAATTCGATTTCGCGACGACTAGGAGACGGATAGACAGGTGGATTACAACACTGAAAGCGTCATTCTATGTTTATTGTTAGTCACATGCCGTAGAAAAATAGAACGACGCTTGCAGCGCAGTAAATGTGAATCGGATCGCATCTATAGAGGGAGAAAGAGAGAGATTATTCTAATCGGTATTTCGAGCCGTTTATTTCGCGCGTTAGCGCGGCACAAGAATCTTACGTGACGTTTCACAATTTTCAGTGAAAACTTTATGATTCCATGACCAAGTGAAAATATGACTTGTTGTTTCAAAAATTCTGCGATACTCCTGCCACGCCCGTGTCCCCTGTTTCGTCAGAAAATAGTGACTATTTATTTACACGGTTGTTGTATATTCAATAACGTGTCAACGTGGCCGTTATGCAGCCGATATTTTGACTGGAGCCGTAAATAAAATAACGTCGGCGCGCACGCGAAGGCGCTAACCAATGCGCCGTAAATGACGCGTCTGATCGCCTTTGTTTGTTCAGCGTGAGCATACAAATCTATGCGGTTGTGCAAGTGCGCTTTTGTGTGCTTAAGGTCGTGAGTCATAACACCGCGCGATTTATCGATCAAGTGGTAAAACAACAAAAGTTGACAGTAACTAGAGCGGCCCGGAGCACTTACATAGCGAGTAGGCGCGCGAGTATACACTGACCAACAATTGCTAACAGGGGCACCACAGCTTAGACTACACGAGGGACCCGTCTCCGCACTAGAATAGATATCGACATTGTGCCATATACCGCGGGATAAAAAAAAAAGTAGTTGCACACAAAGCGCCTTTCGAAATAACGTTACGCGCGCGCGTTAAGGAGGAACGCCGCTGCGCGAAACGCTTTATTCGATACGCCGGTCTGAACGAGATCGATGCATTCTGATGGGGAACCTTAATGAAATTCTGACCGTTAAGGAAGAATTCAATAAGACTTTCATAAGAATCGAAAGGAATGACGTGATAAGGATATAAATTTTATAGTCTCGAGGAGAGGCATTCGCCTTCGCGAGGAATATTCCAGAAAAAAAGTATCCGTTTGGTAAACACTAATATTTAGCGCGCGTTCCATTTCCATCGATTACGACGTGCAGCCTTTAACATTGACTCTGCCAACTTCGCGCAGCGGTCCGCGTTTCCGCGGAGAAAATTTCTTTCCCCCCTCTCGTCCGACATTATTCTTCTTACGTTGTTGCTCGACTCGAGCTATTTATATCTCCGGAAATCGTATCTCCAGTCACAGATTTTCGATACAGTTTCGATCAGATGGTACAAATAGCGATATTCACGGTATGCCCGAAGGGCGAGCGAGGAACTCGACGAAACCGGATGTTCGTCTATTAAGAGATTCAGGAAATAGGATCTCGCTCGAAGTCGCCGCGTCGGGAAAAGTGTTGCCGGTAGGTAACGCGTCATTCGCGCTTGGACGAGCTTAGTACGTGAAACATATGAAACGTACAGGGGTGGAAAGACGCGAGGAGCCGTCGGGACATTATAAAGCTCGGTATTCATTAAATGCAGCACTCGAGTCTGTGCCCGTGAAGAAAAACGAGAATCCCGGGAATTCGTATTTCCTCGTACGTCTTAAAAGAGCCAGGATGCTGGGCGATCAGAGCTCGCGATTTAGGTACGTGTATCCGGCGGTCGAAGGATATAGTGGCGGCGGGACTGGTCGTCGGTGGATGCGCGAGGGGCGGGAGGGCCGGGCGAGGGAAAGGGGCGAAATTTTCGCGTGTTCCTCGAGGTTAACGGAGACACTCGGGAAATTTATACTTCGGCAATAGTAATACCGCGGGTGTGAGGCAGGTGCCGGCGGTGGTCCAGATCGATAGGACATTAAAACAGAGGGGAAACGAGAGAGGGTCTACCTTCGGGGCAGGCGCCTCGACGAATAACCCCGCTATAAACGGAGGAAAGCCTTCTTTTACTCAGCCGTACATCTAACTTCGCTGTGATTTACGTCGCGGATTTTGGTGGGTCACAGTAAAACTCCGGCCACTCTCCATTTAGCTCCCGAAAAATGATGTTGTAAACCGGTGACGGTCGGACCGTCCCCCTTATTTGATCAGCGGAAGCCGGGGCAGGATTTCGCGTCAAATTTGACACACACACGGATGTGACGGCAGTTCGAGATTTCGTTCTCGCCGACTTTCCAGAGACGACGATCGGAGTTGTGAGATGCGATAATTAAAATGCTGCTCGGGAGGGAATTATCTACCTTTGCCATTATGCCCCGCCGTAAGTCTGATTTACATAAAATGGATCGCCTCTTATCTCCGCCGCTCGCCGGTAGCCGGATAATTTGTCATTTCGTTTTTGACCGTAATCTCTTAAATACGGAGTTACGGATTGTTGTTGCTTTAATCGACGCTTCGCATGCTGCAGTTCCCTCCGGAACGGCGGCTGCTCGAAATTTTCTCCCGTGAGCGCGATTACATTTTCGTAAGAGGGCTACGGCACGGAGGGGGCGGAGAAAGAGCGCGATGCGTAAAGTTTTCTTGTAAAGTCTGTGAAGACTTGTAAGATCCTCGAGTTAACTTGGCATAAGTGTATTTTTTTGCCACTTAAGATGTACCGATTGATACATGCTCGAATAACGAACTCATCTTATTAAACTTTCAGTATAGGGGGGTTTTTTTTCTACGCGTGTTTCTCTCTTCTTTTTCTTTAGTTTTCATCGAAAAAGGGATACTGTTTCATGCGGTAGAAGCGAGGCACGACGGGAAAGTTTGCGTTTTGAGAGCTACGCATCTCTAACGGGCGCATCTAGTAGAGATTCGGAAATTCTCTAAGGGTGAAAATAACTTGTGACTATACTAGGGTACGCATTCGGTCGTCTACTTTTAACCGTATGCTTCCGCAACGAGTACAACGTAGTTTAACGATATTCCTACGAATTTTGAGTACCGTAGCTAAGGCTCATGTGATTAGGGTCGGCTTATTATCTCAGCTACGGTATAACGCTAATTTTCCTACAAACTTTGCTAATCTACTCCTTTCTAATGAGAACGGACATCGGGCGTAATAATATCGCGTGCTTACCGCCTTTTTGACGAACGAGACGAATCCATATCCTTTGGACTTTAAGGTTTGCGGATCCCTCACGACTCTGCAATCTCTGTAACAGAAATATAACGTACCTCGTGAGATCGAACGGCGTACAGGCGTAACGCGATTGAAGGTTCAGTAATTGTGAAATATCGCGCGATAGAGAAGCACGGCGATTAAATCCGGCGTTCTTCTCCGTACCGGGGGTTTGACACAAAACTCGCCTGATTAAAAGATCTCGGCTATTTCAGTCTTTCTCTGGATTCTCTGCGTCATTCGATATCAAGGCTGACGTAATTCTTTCATACATCCAATTACATTCTCCCCTTTGCCGCGAAACGATGAACATCGCGGCGCGCGCGTGTGCGCGCAAGCGAGAACGTTTGTTGCCAGCAATGTTTAGTATTTTCACAGACGTGAATCCGTTTATGCCGTCGTTATCGCGATATTACGGGAGGAGACTCACAACGACGCGGGGCCAGAGAGGGCAAAGGGGGCGGCGGACCTCAATTTGTTTCATGCGCAGTTGAATTTCGAAACGCTCATATTCTCTGGAAAAGTGCCGGCGACATTGCCGGGCGAATTGGGCTGCCGGACCGAGCTCGACGAATTCTTCCTCATAATTAAGATTCCAGTAGCGCCCGGCGGACAAAATTAGGAATACTGGAACGTGGCCCTGGAAGCTGCAGTCGTTTCGGCGAGAGCTCAAGGCGACGAGGAAATATTCTTTCGACCGATAGAGCGAATAAAATTTCGCGCTGCGTGTACTTCATCCGCGGCATTCTCTCTCTCTCTCTCTCTTTCTCTTTTTCTCTCCCTCCTCCGTCTCTCTGCCGTTATATCCGGCTATCTGGGATTTTTTTGACCGCGGGTGGGAATTTTCAAAAGACTGCGTCGCATGCGGTATCCACCGTCTACTATGCGCGGTGATTGATGTAGACTACGGTAGAACTTTGATGTATGACACTTTCCGCGTTTCCTACGGAATTAATTGCCCGTAGAAAAAATCGTCAGCGTGAAGGTGACAGTACCTGATCTTCCCTCCTTTATTGTCTCCTCGTCCGTGTGATGGATGAAGTAAGCGCAAGAGAGCAGCGGGTAATTAGGAAATAGATCGTCGAATCGGTATAAGTAACGGCCCATGGAGGCGGATATTCTTATGAAACATTTTATGATTGATTTAGAGTAAGGGTAATTTTATTCGACGTATTCGAAGCTTCGATATAATCCGACATTTGACGGCGAAGTTCGAAGATTCGAAATATCGAAACTGTTAATGGAACTGATTTTGGAGAGTGCGACAAAATACTGTGCGATTAGAGAGTACGTCTGCAAAACGAACACAGGTGCTTTCCAATTCTTGAAGTATCGAATATTCAAACATTCGCGTACAATGTGTCGAAGGTTGAGAAATTCGCAGCTTTGGAGCTTTCAGGAACCAAATATCATTTCTAGCCCTTATTTAGAGGGCCCCGTAAAGATTTTTTCCCCTTGACAAATCAAACGATCGTTTCCCTGCTTTGCCTTTATTTCAAATTTCGCTTTCGAGAGAGCGGTACCTGACAGGTTTGTTATGTCTGGTTAACGAGTTAAGTAATCGGGAAAGAAACGGAAACTTTTCGCGGTATTGTATTGAGGTACACGTCCATTCTAATGAAAATTAAAGGCTAAATATCATCAGTATTGAAATACTCCTCGCTTTCTCCGCCACTGTTCAGTTTGTTCGGCAAACTGAAAAGGCACGGCTCGGCGGAGATGAGTTATTAAAATGCATAATGCGCCGAGCCCCCTCCCATAATTTAAAGTGTTATGTTTAAAAAGTATAGCAAACAGCGTTTGCCACGATACACACGGATGGATTCGCAAAGCGAAGAATAGGCGCTGAGAGAAAAAAAAAGGAGAAAATAAAAATAGAAATGCAAAGCGAGGATGAATAAGGGAAAGAGAGGATGCTTCAAAGAAGGGTTGTCAAAAGGAAAGAACGTGAAAGGGAATAAAAGAGAAGGCAGGCGGAATTACGCGCGTTTCAGGCTGCAGCCGGTCGGTACTTCCACTCTGTGCATCAATTTGAATGCACACCTGCCGCGGTTTCGCCCGTAATTAAAACGATTAATCGATCAAAGGACGTATCTGGGCGGAAGTGGAAAGAGTGAGGAGAAATTCGTACTATGTGTACACCTTCCTAATGAATTAGGACGATGGGGAATAAGTTAACGAATCGACGGCCGATAGGAAATGTGCACGGTAATTAAATGTTTCGTGACTCGTCTCTCTGGACGTTTTCTTTAATGCGAGACGCAAACGAGGAGGAGGATGAAAACAAAAAGATGAAGGGGAAAGGGAACGAAGAAACTAGAAGGTGGTGAGGAGGAATCACGGCGGGGAGAGCGTGAATTAGACAGTGGATAAATCCGGAACAATGAACTGTCGGACTGGTCGATTAATCTTTATCGGAAATAAATTGTAAGCACACAACGACACGAAGCGTCGTTTTAACAGGCGTAGCCAAGAGGTGATTCTTCAGTGGCATCACGTACCAAGTAATAAATGTGAGGTGGATAATTTTGATCGACGACCCTCTCAGCACCCCCTTGCGCGGCGTTCTCGCGACTTCAAAGGCCTTTTGGAACCGCAATATACCGTTTCCGATTGCTTTTGCGCCGAACGGTCGGCGAATGTCGTAGTTTACGAGCGTGGAATGTTGAGTGGTCAATATAAGTTAGATGTGGAACACGCCACTAGTCGCCGCCTATGCCGTTGCCCACACTTCACATCGTTCACATCGCGTATCCGCAGCCGCCCACCCCTTTCATCGATATAAATATGAGCCGCACTCTCTGTGTGTTTTTCCTCGCGGTATAACGCACGTCGCTCGCTCTCTTTTCTTTCGCCCGTTTCTCCGACCGGGCTGCCCTCTCTCTCTCTCTCTCTCTCTCTCTCTCTACGTACGGCGAAACAATCGGCACGTCGGGCGTGCGCGCGCCGTGAATTTACGTTCCTCACCGCAAGCAAAAAAATGAAGAAAAAAGAAGATAGAGGTCGGGGAAAAGGGGGGAGAAAAATGACGAATTAATGCACGGTTATTGACGCGATAAATCTCAGAATTTAATTCAGGTTCCGTCGACTCCTGTGTGCGTCGCGCGACACGCCGTCGTCCCTCTCTCGTCCTTTTGGTGATATAGCCGCGACAACGCCAGAGGCTCGCCACCCTGGCAAAGCCTCGATAGGATAAAGAGTAAGTCTGGATTTATTGCCATCGAGCCAGTCGAACGCGATGGACGTGAGGATAGAAGAGTTTCTGCGTGGGTGGGTGAGTGGGTGGCGGGAGGGAGGGAGGAAAGGGGCGATGATTCAAATTGCGCGCTGGTAGACGTGTATTGCGGGGAAGGCGGGAGGGGGACTCTCTCCGGGTGTTGCGTCTCTCGTTTTATCAATTTCGAAGCTGCGACCCCGTGTCAATTTCTGCCGCTGTATATTCGGCCGGTTTCACTGCTCGTGACGCTCTTATTACGTCATAAATAATACGGGGGGCGTGAGTAAGTGGAGTAAGAATTAATCGCGACGTAATTTAGACATTCGCAGGGCGCGACCCCGTTGGTCGTAGGGAAATTTGCATCCAAGGATACACCGTGAGTTCACAGATTTATCGCCGCCGACTAGGTCGGTCGTGATAGACGCGCGAATGGAAGGATGGGCTGCGTCGATGTTTCAAATTGCACGCCGGAGGCGTAATCCGCAGAAAGATTGCGGGCCTTCCGTTCGTTCTATCAATTTTGAAATCTTGACTCTACGTTGTTTATATACGTGGCATCCGTTGCGATTACGGTGAAGGGAGAGGAAGGCTTTGCCTTCCTCTCACAGATGGCTGGATTCCCAAGGCAATCCAATCAATTATATTAATAGAGTTACATTACCGCTTTTACCGCTTCGAAAGCGATATCTCCCATTAGGAATCCTGCGCGACGGGGGGGAGGAAAGAGGGGGGGTGTTATATTTTATACACATATAATATACCGATTAAACGTTTATCGGCTCGAGATCGCGATTACATCGAGATATCGACGACTCGCGAAAGCTATTACAGTTATGACGGATAATATTATGGAGGACGGTCTCAACATTTTATCGCGTTGATTATGGCCCCGTACAGTCGGGTTGAGTTGCGCGAAGCAATTTCCTTAATGCGATTTAATTCTTTTTAAACAAGTCAAGATGGTTGAACCGTTTAGCAAGTTCTTGGATTCTGGTCTCTTGAATTCTGAGGTGAGTATAGCGGCGGAGGTTGTAAAATTCCCGCTGGTAATTCCTCTTATCCCGCACAGAGCAAAGTCCCCGGGCATTGACAAGAGCCTCGCTGGTCGGCGGTGCAATTTTGATAATTAACATGCGGATTCGCTCGTGCGGTATTTACTTAACAATCGCTAGTTTGCGGTGTCCGCCGTACGTACGCCGTTTCGTAAACAGCGTACTCTTTCGCCAGAATGCTCGATGCATTTCAACAAGTTTAAGCCGGTCTCCTTACCCTCCGCAATTTGTTTCGCGTCTCTTTTCCCCCTTCCTCCTATCTCCTTCCCGTCTACTACCTTACTCGTCTAACGCGCCATTTCCCTTCTGTACCGGTACCCGGGTACCGCCTTTTCCGTATGTATACACCATTTTACCGTTTTCCCAACACATTCAAACGTACATGACGATATTATAATTGAATTTCGGCCCGCGTAAAAGTTTTCCCCGGTTTACTTAGCGTGCAAAATCAGACATTGATGAAACTTTCCATTTGTGCGTGGCTCGTCCCACACTCCGCGGCCGGCCGGCAATTTTCCGCAGATAACGATGAAATTACAAATTTAAATTTCGACCAGGTGTGTGTCAAGCACATTTTTGTTATAGATTTTTCATCCATAAAATATTTTTCAGCTCAGCGAAACGCGTCGCGCATCCTAATTCACAATTCCGTCCGCACAATTCTTGCTGGTAGTCCGCGCAATTACGGAAAACCATTATGGAGTATATGGAGATTGCGAACTCGCTAAATCTTTCAGAACTCGCGTCACCCCGCGTAAACGCGAT